CGTGGCGCGGCTCAAATGATGCGACGGTTCAACATTTCTATACAATAATGGTAATATGATATATGAAACGCTTAATATGAAAATCTATATATCCACAAAGGTTGAAATGTAATTACCGTCTGCTTAAATTTTAAAGACAGTTACCTCCCTTGAAATAAAAGGCGAAATCTTCTTGAACAAAGAAATGAAATTCCAATGAAAGTTGAACTTTCCTATTTCTTTTGCAAAGAAATGTTCATGTAATGTTCATATTTGACTTTTACCGTAATTATTTCCCTCTCAAAGAAACTTGCAACCTATCAAATACCGTCTGCTAGACTGTCAACTAGGCCTATTTCGAGATTTCCCTAAGTTATGTTGTTATAAAGTACGGGCTTTAGGCATTTAAACCCTTAACTTGTTTTAAATTATTATATTTAGATTCATGATTATTTTCATGAAAATTTTGAAAAATGTAATAAAATGTAAAATATTGTAAAGTGAGCACAAAAAGTAAATTACACATTACAAACGGCACATAGAATTCACGTAATTTACCAAAAAAGAGGTCAAAATATGCAAAAGATCCCTTAATGCGTGAGTCACGCAATAGAAATATGGAGCTAAATGCTATAAAAACAATCATTATTTCATATAACATGTTAATTATTATTTGAATCTTGAATCCTTTTACTTTTCTCAAAATCTTAGTACATCTCTATCAGGTTTAATTTTCTTTTACTATTCTGGCTTATTTGGAGGCATACAACTTTAACAACTTTTGAATTTTTTATCACTTTACAGTAAAGATGCAATTCCCTCTCGTTTTCAAATAGTCAATGGTTATGTATAATAGGGTTATGAATCGTGTGGAGTTTATCACACGAGGTACGGAAGGGCCATGTGTGATCCGTTCTTGGAAAATCAAAGAGAGTTAAATACATGCAAGATGTTACTACAATAGCCCTTACCATGTCGAATTTAAACTTAAAGTCTGTCTTATATATATATAGTTGAATATTCCAGTATTTCAAATAAAGAGTACTTCGGCAATGGCTACGGAAAATAAACAACAGAGACTTGCCGTAGAGAAATTAAACTTTGCGAAGACATTTTCGAGAAAAATCCTGAAAAACCTCGAGGGTGACTTTTTTAGTTTATAATTTTTTTTTAAATTTTCTGCAACGTCGTTTTGTTAATTCAAGGGGGTGAATCCATGCGCGCGCATCCTTAAAGTTCTGATACCGCGAACACTTCATCGGCCGGTATTTCGAAGAAAAACGGGTGGTGTGAAGAAATCAGAAAAGGTATGAATTTAATTTGTTTCGCAAAGAAGATGTCCTAACTTCTAGTTTTTATATACAAAATGTCTTGAAGTAACTCTTTCCTGTTTTGTCAGTATTTCGCGTTGAATGCGATTTTGATTCTGGATAGTGCGTACACCCGGCGTTGAAATGTTACAGAAAATGAGCAAATATCGATTAAACTGGCCGTTTTAAACAGCTGGAAGTTATCCTGTTGTAGAATCCTTTTCAAAAATATATTTTCAACCTTCGTTCCAATTCATCTGTACTAAAAATGTATTTAAACGCACTATTTACAGAAATTATGATATTGCGTACACTCTAAAAAACAAGCAATTTTCATAGTATTGCAAGCAATCCATAAGTCCCCTACCGGTAGGAGCCCAAGCAACATTCTGAAGGGCCATTGGCCATACACTTATGTTTCTATTTTAAGTGATCACAGTGAACAGTTTTTATGTACAGACAGACAGACAGACTGAAGGACACTCTAAAGTTATTTTTTAAACATCCCTGTTATCAAAATATAACATTTTTAAAGCAAAATTTAAAAAAAAAGGAGATAATTCTGGAAATATGGATGCTAGATTTATAAACGTTGTCATATTAATGTCATATTATTATGATGTGGGAGTTTGAAGAAAATCCTATCATAATTGAAGAAAATTACTAATTTCTCAAAAAAAAAGTCAAGTTCAAAAGGGGCATAATTCTGGAAATAGTCTTGCTAGAGTATCGAACTCTCACAAATGTTGAGTGATAATAAAAAACATTTATATGAAGTTTGAAGTAGATACGTTCAGAAAAGAAGAAGTTATTAAAAAAAAAAAACAATGTTTTTTTTCATGAAAATTTTAAGTTCCAGGGAGGTAATTCTGATAAATTTTGTGCTAGAAGTGTAAACTTTGTCACATATGATGTGGTTGATGACTACTTATATTTAAAGTTTGAAGAAAATACCTTAAGAAATAAAGAACTTATAGTGAAAAAAACTGAAAAAACTAGAATCAGAAATCTTGAAATTCAGTCTATTTGTTGCCATAGCAACCAGAATTTTCAATTCAGGAAGATAAGAAAAGAATGTGCATAATTTCCATACTGCCATCTACCAATATGTCAAGTTTCATAAAAATATTTTCAGTAATTTTTGCGTTATCACTGGATCCAGGTTATGTGTAAAATTTGCCATATTTTCAGTCTATTTGTTGCCATAGCAACCAGAGTTTTCAGCATAGGAAAAAAAGAAAAAGACGTGCATAATCTCCATACTGCCGTCTATCCATATATCAAGTTTCATAAAAATATTTAAAGTACTTTTTGCGTTATTGCAGGATCCAGGCTATGTGTAAAATTTGCCATATTTTCAGTCTATTTGTTGCCATAGCAACCAGAATTTTCAACATAGGAAGAAAAGAAAAAGACGTGCATAATCTCCATACTGCCATCTATCCATATATCAAGTTTCACTAAAATATGTTCAGTACTTTTTGCGTTATCGCGAGATCCAGTTTTGTGGACTGACGGACGGACTGACGGACAGACAGACAGACGGACGGAGGGTAAACCTAAAGTTCCTCCGGTAAACCGGTAGGGGACTAAAAACCAGATACTGCGTACACATACATGTATCTATGCACTTGATAGAAAGTAGATTTTATTCGAATCAGTCTAAGGTTTATAAAATGATAAAGCGGATTACATGGGTGTCCCATTTGAAGAATTATTTAAAATCTACATCCTAGAAAATGTTTAGAATTAACATTTATTTATGCAATTTGTTTAGGTATTTATGTAAAACCTGGTGAATAATTGTCTATCTTGATAATGTTATTATACTCTACATTTCAAAATAAATTACTTCTTACAGTCAAATTTATATCTTATTTCAGAAAATGAATGTGTGTCGATTTTGTGGTGAATTCTTTGCCAGTGAATCTTCTCTCAGACAGCACGAGGCACGACATTGGCAAGATGGCCCCTACAAATGTGATATATGTAGTCAAGTGGCTTTTTCGGAGTACCATTACAAAACACACATGCAGCGTCATTCCTCTGAAGGCAAGTACGAATGTAAATGCGTCAAATCGTTCAAGACATCTCATGATTTTAAACGCCATGAACAAAGAAAGAGCCAAACAAATGAATTCAAATGTGATGAATGTGGCTTGGCCTTCTCTTATAATAAAGATCTTAGTGATCACAAAGATAAGCACGAGAATAGAAAACGTTATAAATGTGGAAAGTGTGGCAAAGCATTCTGGTATAAATGCAATCTTTACAGACACTCCAAAATGCACGAAGGGAATTAATTTACATGTGAACATTGTGGGGAAAAAATTCCAAGCAAAGCAGCTATTTCGTCCCATCTCTCATATGCAAGTAAAGATCCTGTCAAGTGCAGTATTTGTAAAAACTATTCAATCATAACAAAACTCTTAAGGAACACATGAAAAGGAAACACAGTTAAAAGTTCGTGGAACATGAACGCATTCCAAAGAAATAACTTGTTGCAAGCGTTTTTAGTTCAAGTTACAAATATATGCTATTTTCTTGTGCAATTTAATTTACCATGTTTTTCCCATGAAGTGTCTGTAGAGATTGCATTTATACCTGAATGCTTTGCCACACTTTCCACATTTATAACGTTTTCTATTCTCGTGCTTATCTTTGTGATCACTAAGATCTTTATTATTAGAGAAGGCCAAGCCACATTCATCACATTTGAATTCCTTTGTTTGGCTCTTTCTTTGTTCATGGCGTTTTAAATCGTGAGAAGTCTTGAACGATTTGCCACATTTACATTCGTACTTGCGTTCAGAGGAATGTTAATCCTAAACATTTTCTAGGATGTAGATTTTAAATAATTGTCAAATGAAACACCCATGCAATGCGCTTTATCATTTTATAAACCTTAGACTGCTTCGAATAAAATGTACTTTCTATCAATTTCATAAATATGTGTACGCAGTATCTGGATTTTTTTAGAGTGTACGCAATATCATAATCTCTGTTTTCTGTAAATAGTGCGTTTAAATACTTTTTTAGTACAGATGAATTGGAACGAAGGTTGAAAATATATTTTTGAAAAGGATTCTACAACAGAATAACTTCCAGCCGTTTAAAACGGCCAGTTTAATCGATATTTGCTCATTTTCTGTAACATTTCAACGCCGGGTGTACGCACTATCCAGAATCAAAATCGCATTCAACGCGAAATACTGACAAAACAGGAAAGAGTTACTTCAAGACATTTTGTATATAAAAACTAGAAGTTAGGACATCTTCTTTGCAAAACAAATGAAATTCATACCTTTTCTGATTTCTTCACACCACCCGTTTTTCTTTCAAATACCGGCCGATGAAGTGTTCGCGGTATCAGAACTTTAAGGATGCGCGCGCATGGATTCACCCCCTTGTAATTCATACCAGGCAAAAGTTAATTTCCATTTTTAATGGAACAGACTATACATATCCAACCATAACGCAATTGATACAAAGCCAATTACATCATTCCGTATCACCCTTGAGTGTGATATATTGTTGTTTTGTTACATTTTTGCATGAAATGCATGCATTAAAGGGACTCCACTGACGCCCAATTGGTATAGAACTACATCAAATGCAATATCAAACTCAAAAAATTATTTCCAGTCCTGTCATGTCAAAACACCTCAGTGGAGTCTCTAAAATTATGAAGAGAAAATATGGACAAGTAAACAATAAACTGCTTTATCGTTTAATTGTTGTTTAATTTATTTCACTCTAGCACAGCAGCTCTGTAAGAAATCATTTATAAATTCAAAAAGTAAACAAGAAGTATCTTTTAAAAAAAAGAAACTTGGCCGGGGTAAATCTGATTTTGCTTGCATAAATCATTTCGCATTTTTGTATTCGTGTAGAAATGTTAAATTTAAATTTGAATATCTGCAAAACTTTACTAGAAAATGAAAAAAACTTATAATATGTGAGAAACTTAAGACGAAATTTCGTTTCCGGAACTCCTTTAGGTTTATTTAAAATTAGACTCATAAACCATTTCAGAAATCTTTTATATTATTTAACTTATTTTAGAATGGCCAATGAGATTCCCAGATTACAGCTTGTATTTTTGAAATGACCAATAAAAATTCTACATATATCCAGTTCATTCCTGTCAATTTTACGGAAGTCGAACTGATTTTAGACGGTCTTCGGCCAAAACTTAAAGGAAAGATATTTGAATAGACTTGTATAGTTAGATAGACAAACGGGAACTTAAATGTAGACGGTGTAGTCTTTTGACAATCGCATATTTGCACATACTAAAAAATAATGTTATTCAATATACAAAACATAAACGTTAAATCAAGTCATTTAATTTTATGACTTGTTATATAATACAACCTTCAAAAATGCGAATTGGGATAACTTTTGAAAAGTTTTTTTCGCCCTTATGGTCGAAAACAAACGCACCCATTCTTTTCCAAAAAAAGATTCTCAATATTGAATTACATTTAAAATAGAAAAGAATAAGCAGGTGATGAGACATTTTTAATATAAAATGGGATGAAACCTGATATGTCTTAATATGAGAAGTGTCTGAATTGCGATGTAGTTCATTTTGACAAAAGATTCATATGACTGATAGAATAGCGTGCTTTTCATAGGACGTAGAAATGGGGGAAAACCCTTTAAAATACATGTACTATATTGTTCACAGAAACAGTCTCACGATGTGTGGTGAAATAAAACGAAATCTACTTATTATATTTAGAAAAAAACATAACTTTGTGGGATTTATTTACGATTTTAAATGGCCAATGAAAATACAACAAACTAATATATTTATCACTTTTTTACTTTAAAAAAATGTTTTAACGTCACACATAACTTATATTATGCCTTCCTTGCAGGTTGCATAATTTGATCAACACTTTTCTTTTCTTTTGGTTAAGCAAGTCTTGCCTAATAAATAACTGTTAACCATTGACATCATCAAATTGTTAAAACATACAAACTCTCAACATACAAGAATAAAGAATATTGAAAAATGTCTTATTTACATGGCACAAGACAACAGTTATTTTCTCTTTTTTTCCACAATACGGAAGTAGTTACACAAGAAATAGTGACTATGTTTGATACTGGGTATTTATGAATTTTTGAATAAAAAACATAGCGAAAAGGCACATTTTACTAGAGGAAATATGAAATGATCGATAAATTGAAAACAATTTGAATGATGGCATATGCACATGATGATTTTTGACAAGGGTGCTTTGCCTTTTTCCGGCCGTCTTGACAGTACAAACCTCATAAAAGTGAAAAAAAAAGTAATAAAAATAAGTAGCCAGTCAACCCATCTTTTACAGCAAACCGAATATTTTTCTCTCAGATTAGTCTATATAGAACATACAAACGTACAGTAAAAATAACTGTGGTCTTGGGCCTTAAATGGGTTGAAAATAAAACAATAAACAAAGACACAAAGTTTTAGAAAAAAAGTTATTATTTCATTAGTTTAAATCTATCACACTTTAAATAAATACAATAAATCTATTTCTATTATTTGATTAAGTCTAGTTTTAAAAATGATGTTTCATGATTTTATTATCTATGACATCATATGGTCGGTAAATGAATCGTCTGCACGTTTCAGAACGCTACTCTGATTTGTGCCGGTCGTCTGCTTGACATTGTCAAACATATCACTAAATTTAATAGGTCATTAAAATTGTGTAAAATGTTAATGAGTAGTATTTCGGGAAATATATTTACATGAATAAGAAAGCTGAGATCGAACAAAATGTGGCTGTTGATAAATGTTTAAAAAAAACACAAAAACACAATTTGTTGATATGTCTGTTCACAAGAAATTATGAACAACAAATAACTTTACGTTGCCATCTTGGAATAGAACTTCCGGTTGCATTTTATAGTTGAGGGACGGATAAAAAGTTTTGCACTACACTTTTACTTTAGGAGATGTACATCAGGTACCTTAATATAAGGTGGACCTTTCGCTGCCATCTTAAAAATAAATAAAGCTTCGGATTTACAAATTTTGATGCGGAACGGTTTGCTATCGTTTTTGAAACTTTCTATCAACAATGTAAGTAAAACATCTTCATTTGATTCCTTATTCCAAGGAGGTTCCCATGCCACCATCTTGTAGAAAGAACTTTCGGTTGACATATTTTTATTCAAGAACGATTTTTAATCGCTTTCAAAACAATCCACCTCTTCTGTGAACATTGATTAACTGTTACTGTATAACATCTTCATATCCAAGATTCCAAATTCCATGGACCTTTTAACATCGCTATCTCGAAAAAAGAACTTCCGGTTTATATAGGAACAAACTTTTATCGCATTTGAAACGTTTGGCCTCTTTTGTCCACATTGACTTAGTGTTCAACATCTTTATACAATTCATAATTTCAAGTTGGACCTGATATTTCCATCTTGGAAGAGAACTTCCGGTAATTTTTCATTTTCTTCTTGTTACGTGTTATTTGTTTTTTTGTGTTTTTTTATTTCATTTTTTTTTTTGTTAGGGCAGCTTATAATAATTTTTAAACACTTCTGGCTTTCAATTATACCCTATGTTATTTGACTAGATGTACATGTAACATCTGTGATTCATAATTCCAACAAATTATAAACATATACATACTTTCAAAATGGTATACTGGCATTGCCTCATAAAATCTTTGATATATTGTCATTTACATCACTCGTAAATTTCCTTGAAACCTTTGACCTAATACAAACACAAAAACTCACATATATGAATATAAATATAACTGTTAAAGCTAACAGTATATGGTAATAGTGGACAAAAAAGCGTATAAGTTGAGCGTCCCATCCATGCCAGGCCGAGTCATGATGATGTTCAATATATTCTTTAATTCCTTCCGGTTGCAAAATCATAAAGTCATCTTTATACGGGTAGTTGAGATATCTCCCCCACATATACGTTGTCCCTAAAGAAAAAGAAAACAAGTGTTTGTTTGGTGGAATTATTATACAAATGATATATTCGTTAAGTTTTTAGAAACATCAATACTTTTAAGGTCAGGTGTCGTTTTTTTAAAATTTATTTATTTGTTTGTTTACATTTACAGACAGTGGAAGACCGCGGATCGTTTTAAGCTTTTAGATACATCGTCAGGTGTCTTTTTTTTTAAATTTATTTATTTATTCACATTTACAAACAGTGGAAGACCGCGGATCGTTTTCAGTGTCATTCCATGTACTACAGGACAATTGGCAGAACTATTGATTTGTTTTAAATAAGATAAAGAGCGCGGCCGAAGCCATATCGTCAAAAGGCAAGTAATTTGATAGATAAATCATTTGCAACACGTGTGTTTTAGATTCCCAATACTTGCTTTAATTTAGATCAGATTATCAATAACCAGATTGGTGTACCAATTACAGTACAGTATTGGCCCAGTAATATTTAGTTACCACCTCTTCAGTAGCTCAGCAAGTTCATACATGTTGAGAGTGGTAAACTGTTTGACAAACACTGTCAATATAAAATCTATTAAGTAAATGTAAAGCGAAACTATATAAATATTGGCGAGTCTTCCGTGTGATTTGGACTTTTAGAAATTGGTCGAAAGCTACTAAATACAGATATTAATTGAGATGTATTAATCATCTGCACTTAGTAATATTTTAGGTAATAAGAAAACTTTAAATAATAAAATCTACACACGGAAAAGTTGTTTCAACATCGTCAGACGTTACAGCATCATGTTCATAACATTTTCCTTTAAAGTGGATTAGTCTACAATGGGCACATTTTCCAAAAGTATTTCAAATATTGAGAAAAAACAATAGAAATAATCATCCAGATATTCTTATAAAATATTGCTTGAAGAAAAATATGTTTGATATTATTCTTAGTGAATTAGAATAAACATTTATCTGCTGAATAATATTATTTTGTTCTAGGACATGCTATTATCTGCTATATAAATGTATGTAATATCTGAACATGTATCACACACTTGCCAACAGCTGCCATATATAATTCATTCATGATCGGTTAATATGTGTAATTCTTATTTTTATACTATCAACATAATTACAGACCTTCCATTACAGACCAATCCCCTTTAATAGGTTTTGTTGAATTATTACAGAAAATAACAATGTGCATACACAAATGTCTACCAATACGACAGCTAAATCAAAGGAAAGCGGTGTCATAGTGGTAAAGGTGTCTGTACCTAAACCTAGAGAGGTTATATGTTCGAACTCTACTCGGGTCATAACCATGTATCTTGCATCCTGGTATCACACCCATAATATCTGGTTTCAGGAAGTGGACTTCAGAATGATAAATACAAATTACAAAGTCAAGATTATATAAAAATCTGTTTACACTTAATATATTTATACATGTTGATGATATTTTACAATTTGGGAAAGTATGGTATTTCAATAATAAAATATCATACCTGTTGTAAGTACTGTGTTAAAGTATGGGAAAATGAACCATCTGTTGGAGTTTGGTAAGTGGTCCAGCACCGACTGTAAAAACTGATGTTTTGGAGTAACACCAAAGAAATCATTAGACGTTCCAACGGGAAAGGTGTAGTGTTGTACCACGCTTTTATTTTGTCTGTATGCTTTGTCAGCTAATACGGAAAAGCTGGAAAATGAAATAAAAAAGTTTGTTTAGAAGTTATTTTATCATCATATGTAAATGAAAGTCTGATGTTTTACGACCTATTCATGCAACAATGGAATTAGAGATATGATAATTTGTCAAAAGGTTTTGAGTCAGAAGTTATGAGTGGCATTTTAGGAAGTATTTTAAATTTTACAATTTTGACGTTTTGGATCTTCTTTAGAGATTTTTTTCTCACTATTGTATAGGTTAGTTATGAATTTGTTTTTATCTTTTTTGTGTTTCTTAGATATTTATGCAATAAGGGGCAAAAATAGCTCAGGATTATAGAATGGAAGAAAAAACCTTAAAGATAAGACATCTATGTCATCTATGTCAGTACTAAAATGTCGTCTTATAAAGGTTCTACATGTCTTTGGAATTCTTTGGCTAGTTCCGGATTATGGATATGAAATTTGGAGTTTTAAGGCAGAAAGTATGCAATCATTTAATATGGAGGTTGAAAAGGAAATATATCAATATAAACATGTTGGTAACCAAATATAACAGAATGAAAAACTTGTACTTTGTCTTCATTTTGTCATTTTGCATCACTTTACTTAAATGTTAATGTTCTAAATAAATATGAAAATTATACTACTTAGTTTAGGTTAAATACACAAACACCTGAGGCTGTATTTGTTTGAAATATGAAGTCGCAAGTGCATATTTTTTGATGCAATTGGTTAATAGAAGACACTTACTAGTTTTTGGAAGGAATATCTGAATTGTTGCACAATAGATAAAGTTCAAATAGCCACAAATTTCATCAACGTCAAATTCAAGCTATCATATAGAGTTTTGTTGAATGTCAAACTTAAAACTTATTTTAACCTGCTTGTCAAAATCATGATATTTAATTAAAGACAGATATTTACAAATTTGAAAATTCATATTTTTCATTTAAATACTTTCTTTATATAGCAAATGTTTGTTTCAAACATACGGTTTTCAAAAGAAAGCTTTTTATATATCATATCATATCATATCATATCATTTCATATCATTTCATTCCATTTCATATCATATCATATCATATCATATCATATCATATCGATTCATATCGATTCATATTGATTCAAGTACCTAAAGATAAATTTCATACAGTATTAATTGAACAAATATACATGTAAAAGAAAGGAAAATCTATACATTTCTTTTTATTTAGTTTTATTTTACCAATATATCGCAATTGATCGTAAGAAGCTTTGCAATTAACCAGTGGATGTCAATTTATCGTCCCGATTTTTGTCAACTGACAGAAAGTCACAGAAAGTGTAACTCAACTTAGGAGAGGCTGATAGTGCATTTTTGAAACTATCAAGTTTAGTGAAATGATAATTTTTGGACAACAAGATTTGTCGTCTGCTTCCTTTAAACAAAAATGTATTATCTATATGTCTTCTACATCTAAAGATATTTTGCAATCCATATCGAGGTCCAAGGGTGTGTCCGATGTTGTGCATGAGACTTTGCAATTCAACTTAAAAATGAATTTGCATGTTCTTACTTATCATGTTCTTTTATATATAGCTAATTTAAATGCGTATGAGATACCATATTATTCAAGTTCTATGTAAAAAAAGCTCGGTTTATACACGATGGAACTACTTGGACTAGTTAAGTTTAATTTTGTAAAAAATTGATTTGTCACATTTGTGTGGGTAGTGTAACCTAACCTGTTACCAACACAATCATGTGTGACATTGTTGTCTATTCTGTAATCAACACAATCATGTGTAGGCAGTGTTACCTAATCTGTAATAAACACAATCATGTGAAGACAGAGTAACCTAATTAGCCTAAGTAACCTTATCTGTTACCAACATAATCAGTTGTAGGTAGTGTAACCTAATTGGTAATAAACCTAATTGGTAATAAACACAATCATGTGAAGGAACTGTACCTAATCTGTAATCAACACAGTCATGTGAATGCAGTGCTACCTAATCTGTTGTCAGCACAATTATGTATAGGCAGTGTAACCTAATATGTAATAAACACAATCATGTGAAGGCACTATACCTAATCTGTAATCAACACAGTCATGTGTAGTTAGTGTAGCCTAATCTCTTTTCAACACAATCATGTGTAGTCCGTGTTGCCTAATCTGTTTTCAACACAATCATGTATAGTCCGTGTTGCCTAATCTGTTTTCAACACAATCATGTGTAGTCAGTGTAGCCTAATCTGTTATCAACACAATCATGTGCCTAATCTGTTATCAACACAATCATGTGTAGACAGTGTAGCCTAATCTGTAATCAACGCAGTCATGTGAAGGCAGTGTAACCTAATCTGTTATCAACACAGTCATGTGTAGTCAGTGTAACATAATCTGTTATCAACACAGTCATGTGTAGTCAGTGTAACCTAATCTGTTATCAATACATCATGTGTAGTCAGTGTAACCTAATCTGTTATCAATACATCATGTGTAGTCAGTGTAGCCTAATCTGTTATCAACACAATCATGTGTAGACAGTGTAGCCTAATCTGTAATCAACACAGTCATGTGAAGGCAGTGTAACCTAATCTGTTATCAACACAGTCATGTGTAGTCAGTGTAACCTAATCTGTTATCAACACAGTCATGTGTAGTCAGTGTAACCTAATCTGTTATCAATACATCATGTGTAGTCAGTGTAACCTAATCTGTTATCAACACATCATGTGTAGTCAGTGTAACCTAATCTGTTATCAATACATCATGTGTAGTCAGTGTAACCTAATATGTTATCAATACATCATGTGTAGTCAGTGTAACCTAATCTGTTATCAATACATCATGTGTAGTCAATGTAACCTAATCTGTTATCAACACATCATGTGTAGTCAATGTAACCTAATCTGTTATCAACACAATCATGTGTAGTCAGTGTAACCTAATCTGTTATCAATACATCATGTGTAGTCAATGTAACCTAATTTGTAATCAACACAGTCATGTGAAGACAGTGTAACCTAATATGTTATCAACACAAGCGTGGGTAGGCAGTTACCTTATTTGTTTTTTGTAGGCTGTGTAGCCTAATTCAAACATGCAATAAGTCTTAGAAATTAAGATCTTTTTCATTTCTTTTTTAATAATCTAGCCCTTAGCAAAAAATGCTGCTATTTCAAAAGTCGTAAAACACCAAATTATGGATTTCACAAAAACGTTATGGTTATTTTTAAGGTTTGGAGTACAAATAGATTGTTTACTTTTCTTTCAATTCTTTCAAAACCGTCTACAATGGGAAATCAATTAACCGTACTAAAAGTTAACACTATTTTGTATATTTATTTTGTATCGATTTCGTAATCAAATAATTAAAGTTTTATTGTAACAGGGCCGTTGTTTGTATGGCTACACAGTAATGAACAAAGAAACGTGCACTTGGTTACGAACAAAAGTTACTTTTCTACAAAGGATAACTTCATGTACACGAAAAAAAAAACAGAAATCGGATATGTTCCGTTTTTTTCCCCAGCAGTAACATGATATCGACCCGACCCGTTGAAAATATTTTTTTTTTTATTCAATAGACGTTTATATTACAGCTTAATGTACATGATATATAGAATAAGTAACTTACAGCCTTATATCATTTACATCTGTTTAACATAATTTTGATATATCAGTAAATAATATAATCGAGCGCCGCCTCGAAATTCTGAAATAAGTAAAAATGTAAATAAAAACTGAAATTAAAATGTCCGATAGATAAATAATTTAATAGTTTATGAGTTAATTTATACGCCCCGGTATGATACAGTATAATGTCAAGTCCTACTCTAGGTTACCGGTAACCACTGCAAACACTTGACTCTGTCATTTAGTTTTATGGACACATCGTTGAACTAATCTGTCTTTTAGGGATATTTTGCCATAAAATACCATATATCTGGACATAAAACTTTCTCTTTCTTAGTACTTAAGGTCATTTAGACGAAGATATATTACAAACGAATATTCTTACCATAGAGTGAAATATACGCAACATATTCTTTATATTGAATCATATTCTTAAAGATAATACAAAAACAGGGATTTTGTTACTTACCTTTGAACACAAGTCATGTCAAGGTCGACGTACCACCCACCATAGTGGTATAATATCAAGTATCTGGCAACATTGACCCGCCGGACCCAGTAGTCGTAACTCCGGTATCTTTTCTCCATGTGGGGATATTCCCTCCGAATAAACTTAACTACTTCCGTCTCATTCCATAAATAATGAGTAAAATTCTTATTCTGTCTAACACAACTTGCACGTGCATCCATTAGCGCCTTTGGCGGCGTCTTACTTTTCACCGGGAAGAAAATTTGATGAACAATATTTGATATATTCTTTGTTTTACGAGCGTCATTTTGATATTTCATCGAACATTTGTCACAAGTTTCTACGTTTACGTTAACGCTAATTATAAACTCACAATATAAATAAATCAAATGACGTATAACGAAAAAATAAAGTAAACATCCGAAAATAAAGCAGACGAAATAACGCTTATTCTTCAAGTTGAATAACTTCATGATTGTAACGCGCGTGCTTAAGCTCTCAATCACAAAATAAAATACAATTTTAAGAAGCGCGTATGAGGTTCAATAAATATCAACAAAAAACTATTTTATCCATTCAACGTTTCGTGTATTAACTGATAGAAAAAATCTATGTCCATCTTATATTGCGAGATTTTGGAATCATATAACTAAACTATAAAGGTATATACATAATACCACTACTTTGTCCAAACATAGTGTACGTTTTAATGGATCTACTTTTCATCACGGAGATACACACAAATAAAGTCTTTGGCAAAAGTTAGTTAACCATGTACTCTCGGACAGCGTTCTGTTTGTTTACAAAGGGAAACATTGAATTGGATGGCTGTGCCAATTCATGCACGTTGGTGTAAACTATAGAATTAGATATTGCTTTGTCAATTCATGTGCACATGAGCACGTTGGTGCGAATTGTTGAAATGGGTGTTTATACTCATCGTGTATTCTGTAAAACAGAACTATTTACAAACTTCAATGTGTACACCAGCAAAAATAAAATTTAAAATAATAATTAAAACTTTAATTTTTGTACAGGTAGAAATTCAAAACATACATCATTAGTGAAAGAGTATGTTGTTTTTTTTATGAAAGTTTCCATTATGGTATTTTATCTAAAATAAGAAAAAACTCCTATTTTCTGGAACAAAGAGAAAAACATATTTAAGTATTTTGATGCTTGGGTTTGAAATTTTCAGGAATAAATGATGCTAACCTGTAACCTCGAAACCCGCTTCTGACGAATGAAATAAATATTGCATTGGATTTTAAACACGGTGCATATATGAAGGAAAACTGTAATGTCGATTTTTTTTTTAAATTTTTCAGTATATATATTTTAAAATTCGACTGGAATTTGCTCAAATGATTGCACCGTTTCTGAAAGTTAACTCTTAACAAAATTAACGATTATTGATAATAACCGATATTTCATTTTAGACCAACACTGGGGGTAGTTGTTTTCTGGTTGGTATGCGTCGAATTGAATAGAATGCGTCGAATTGAATAGAATGCGTCCTATCAATATTGACGGTATAAATGTATAAGGATATTGATATCTGTATTGTACCGGACATTTCCTAAAGGTTTATACCTTTAGATTCATACCATGTTATAAATCTTTTGAAATAACGTTTACTTTTTGGTGAATTATTAAAGAAAAGATGAAAAAAAATCGGGATTTCCCGATGCGTTTCAGGAATGTTGTTATGTTATGAAGAATCGAATAAACATGAATATATAAGTAAAAGGCGCTATATGACTTGTATTGAATAAATGGGTATAAAAATACAAATGAGCTGCGGACAAATTTTTCACCATTTTAAAACGTACACTGTATTCTTACTTAACCCTTTAATTGCTGGAATTGAAAGTAATTAGACTATATCACCATGGTAGAGCTAGGACAGCATCTACATCTGTGCATTCTGGCCAAACTCTAAACTGAAACTGAAAGCTCATTGATATTAATATCCTTGAATTTTAAAATAGACTTTCTAAATTCAAAAACAGGGCAGAACTATCACAACAAAATCTTAACAGTTTACATATAAAAAAACCCCCTAGATCCTCTTGTTTATTGTAGTACCAAAATTGTGTCGGTCTCCCATTAAAAGAAGATGCGTCCGTAGCCGAATGGTTAATGTCGTTGACTACAGCCCACTTGTCCCTTATCGCTTTTGGTTCGAATCCCGCCTAGGACTATTTTTTCTTCTATATGTTCCATTCAATTCATACTTGTTTAAACATTAAATATTCATCCAATATTAAGTAACAAAATGAAATAAGCACCCTGGGCAAATATTTCGATTTTATTGTTCATGTGGTCATAATTTTTATCTTATCTGTGCTAAATTGTGTAGCAGCAAAATGTTTTATTCATAAAATTTGATGTAATGGTATGTAAATTGTGTCGCAAAAATTCACGCATATAAATTTCAAAAAAAAATTGAGAATATCCCTATGGGATCAAGTTCGCATTGATATCCTTCTGATTAACCTATTCAGAAGTTACACCGCGAAAAGCCATACTGTGACTCCCACCTTTAATTGCCTGAAAGATTTTGTATTAATCCGCGCACGAAAATGTATATAAGAGTTTGCTTAAGGGTATCAAGTTACAAAAAATAGCGGTTGGCGAACTATTTACTTTAGAAATAATTTTGAAACGGTCCACATGTATGTATTGATTTACGGGTGTGTCACTTGATACACAATAGAAACAAGTAGAATAAAACAAATACGTCAATGGCATTTATTTTTAAAATAAATATTTGAAAATGAGTCATTTACAACAACAACAAAAAATCATTGAATCGTTATGCATATGAATATAGAGCTGTATAAATACATATATGTTAAAAAGAATTAAAAAAAAAATAAAGCATAATTTATTATCTTGAATGCAAAACAGAAATAAAATTAACATAATATTCAAACATAAATAATGGATTTTTATTCAATTATATTTAAAGCTGTATGCCTCCAGATTAGCCAAAATTGTTTTTTTTTATAATTATTAAATCAAACTTGAATGATATTCATAATTAATTAAAGATTTTGGGATTTTATAACAACCTGCTAAAATAAGTTTAGGTAGCATAGGTTGACACAAATGCTTTTGAGTTTTTATGTTTACACAGTTGTGTTTCTTCTACCGACTATATTTTGACACGATGCAAAACCACCTTGGAGACAAAATCTTCGTTTACAAAGCATGTATCATATTTAAGATAAATTATGACATAAGAATTCAGTCTACAGCAAGAAAATCTATTACGTCCGTATCAGTTATGAGTGTATATGTCCCGTATTAATACTTAGATAGATAAATACATGAATTTTTGAGAACTTTTTACATACTTTTACAAATGTACTAAAGTTACCATTTCGTTCAGCATGTCCAGTTCAAAAGACTGCTACCTTATTTTTCTGTGTCTTTAACTTTGTCGGATTCAAGTGCCAGAATTCGGACTATGACGTTTACTGTGCTTAGGCGTCGGTATCTATACAGTGCTCACAAAACATAGTAATGTTAATTACTACTTAGAACTATATGAGCCGCGTCACGACAAAACCAACATAGTGCGTTTGCGACCAGCATGGATCCAGACCAACCGGCACATCCGCGCAGTCTGATCATGATCCATGTTGTTTGCTATCAGTTTCTCTACTTGTAATAGGATTTGTAAGCGAAGCTGGTCGCCAACGCATTGCGTTGGTTTTTTCGTGACGCGGCTATAGGCAAGAGCCCTATCCATTATATGCTTGTTTCATATCAATTGAAAAGATCAAATAACCAAATGTCGACTTAACCGGAATTTGAGATAAGTTAACGCTTTTAGGCATGCGTAATTCGTTGCTTTGATTTATTTTTCATATTCGAGATACTTCCAATTTTCCCGTATCACTAATGCTCATATTCATTGCATAGCTGCTTACATTTCTTTGAACCGGAAATAAGCATTTGTATTAGGTTTTATATACTCTGAAATATTGAAATATTGTAAGACATTGGTGTTGAACCCAATCAAGCGTTATTGAGATACCCCGCTGCTTTGTACTAACTGACAAGAGACATTTTTTTTTAAATGAATGCATACAAAACGCCAACATCTAACAATAAATAAGCCAACTCTAAGCAGACGATCGTGTGTCGCATTGTTTATGTCGTATGGGTTGGAAAAATTATAAGCTATTCGTGACGCACATTGAATGCAGCATATGCCACCCGCTGCTGTGGGCTCGAATCTCGATAAGGTCTTTGGATTCGTTTTTGTGAGGAAGTAACTCAGACAGAATTTCAATATTTTCTATCCCTTGTGCTGGAAATATTGTACACCGTGGTGCTTGAGGTGTTGCGCCATCTGCAAAGTTGGAGTGACGTCATATGGCGGTTATATGACGCAATTCCGGTGTGACATAAAATGCAATACGGTTATAACCCATTTTCGGCTATGACGAAATGTTCATATATAAATGATATATTTGAAATCGTGGCATAGAACAGCAAAAAAAGATAATCTGCCAATGGTACGCTTTAAGCAAAACATTCGTGGTAACGATCCGTCGTGGTTTGTTGCTACTACATGTATATATGTACCATGGTACATGTAATATATTTACCATGTTAAATTTGAAGTTTTCTACAAAGATAACTAAAATAGTTCTTTCGTTCAAAAAACATTTTAATAATTGCATTGAAAATGTATAAAATATAAATAATTTAAGTCTTTATTTGCAAAAAGCAAATTGTGTAAACAGTGGTTTTAAAATGGTACAAGAATAAATATAAAAGGAGTTTCAGCTTGTACACCTGAAAATTGCCAAATTAGCAAATATTTGTAAATGTGTTTGAATGTTCCATGGAATCTATAAAATAAATATTTGAGAATCAACCGTCAGATTTTATAAAAAAAGGCCAATAATTTTATACTTTTGTTATTCATTCCCTTATTACAAAAATTATATTTTTAAAATTGTTCTTTGTAAAGTAATACAAAAATACTCATAGAGCTTTTATAAAATTCTACACACCAGTTCACTTAAAACATGTGTATTTATCTATAACTTTTTGATAATGAAAAACAACATCAAAAACTCCAACAAGTTAGGTTTCAATGAAAAGATTTTTGGCTGTTTTATACAAAATATACATTACAATCCATCGGCGATATACATCCGTCGTAAAATAAATTCGACATATTCCATCACTTTTCGTAACCACGATAAAACTTAAATAAACGCCTATAAGGCACAGAGAAAAGAATCTTGACAACTAAATGCCTTTTATATTTACATAAAGAACGGAAAATGACGAAGTTTGCCGAATTTCTATATATTTATATTTGTAAAAAGGACATCTAAAATGACTATGGAAGACTAGGAGGTTTTTCAACAAGATGCAACTTTTGAAGCTGACCTGTTTATATCAAGTGCTTTGGCAGGGAATGGGGCATGCACACATGATAAATTTATAAATATATTCCTTTCCAAAAAGGTTTTGACGCTTTCCATTTATGAGTTTTACCGAGCTTTACCGAACTTTATTACCTGGAATATACCAACTTTAAAATACCAATTGTTGCTCAACTTGAGTTTTCTACTTTTTAAATTCTTGATATTATCAAATCACAGATTATACGAAAAATCACTAAACATATCACTATTTTCTGGAAGTTATCATTTCAATCCATTTTGTAAAATTGTATGTTCCCTGCTAGTCCTCCTCAAGATACGTTTATTTCGTAATATCCACAGATATATAGCAACTATAGTTGTTAGAAGACATAGAATTAACAGTTGATGGTAATGATGTACAAAGAAACGTATAAGTTGAGCGTCCCAACCATGCCAGGCCGAGTCGTGATGATGTTGTAAATAGACCTTAATTGCCTCTTGTTCTAATATATAAAATTCCTCTTTATACGGGTAATTTAGGTATCTCCCCCACATATACGTCGTTCCTGAAAAAAAGATATATGTCTATATGTAAAATCCTTTTCTTTTTTTCTTCTTACAACGGGTATTAAAATTATATGAATATTGCCAATGCTACAGAAAAGCAATTTTTTTTATAAAATTTACGACATTCAAGGCATCATCAAGGCATCATTACTTATTTCCTAGTAAAACTGAAATACTTTTTGCTGACCATTACAACAACTTTGAAAAATATGCAGGCCTAGTTTGAAGATTTATTTTACGGACAATAGTGTAAATGGGTATGCATTGTTCATTTTAAGAATCCTTTTGATTGTGTATGCATAATAGAACTTATGCTTGATGATGTGTTATTCGATGTAAACATTTCGTTTGTATATTCCAAAGCTGATAACTTGAATAAGTCGCAAGTGCCTTTCTGTATGAGGCAAATATTTGTACTTAAAGTACATATCTATCTAGTTTATTGCAATGGCCAAATGAGAAGGAACATCATGTTATCTTTTAAAAGAGGTGAATAGCGCCTAGGTAGTATTACTGTAATAAATGAAGAACAGAAATGTAACAGAGTCCAACTACGGAGAGTAGTTATTAAGAGGGTGTGCTTAAGATGCCTGATTCACAGCATAGCTCTTTGGTTCGAAACCAGCTTGGGGCCATTACAATGTTTCATGGTATACCACCAGTACTTGTAAATTTTGGAGACATTCAGTTAGGCTATACCTTCTACATAAACAAGTATAAAGAAGGATACGAAGAAGAAGCTTTATTTCGCAATAATCACACAATATCCCTGAGCATGACATTATAAATATATATAAAATATTTTGATTTACAGTAAAGATGTGTTCAAGAAAATGAAAATGTTTTCATCCTTAATAATTTGTATTGCGATATTTTTATTATTGATAAAAAGGAATCTAAAATTAGAATTGGGTATCAAGTTTTCATTCTCTATCTTGCAATGATCTGTATCATAAGTTTTACGGTACAGAACCTTTATAATTATTATAATAATATAGTCTACCTGTTGTAAGAACTGTATTAGGGTAAGGGAAGATGAACCACCTATCGGAGTTGGGTAAGTGGTCTAGCACCGACTTTAAAAACTGATGTCTTGGCGTTATACCAAAAAAGTCATTAGACGTCCCCACGGGGAAGGTGTAATGTTGAATTACACTTTTGTTCATGCGGAATGCTTCATCTGCAAGCTGTTTAAAACTGAAAAAAAAAACACATTTAAATTTTGATAAATATTTTAACATAGACTAAATATATTATAAAACTTCTTCACAAAATTTAAATAAATCGATGCTGAGATTGAAAATTGGTCTTAAGATAAGTGTTTTACTAGTTCGTCTGCTACCGAAATTGATCTTAAATGCCAACACCACAATATTTTGATTTGTATTTACGCCAACGGCGTACTGTTAAGAACAATAAAGAGACAAAATTCTAAAGAACAATAAAGAGACGAAATTAAATACAAACAAAGTTAAATATAACGTAAACTTGTTAAATGGCAAACAAATGGTTTGTTTGATTTAGAGATTACATTACAGGAGCTGAAGGATAACCGAGATATTATATAGGTATACTGTCCGTAGATCATTGTCACCCGGCTTTTGATGGCTTATGCTGGTTCTATAAAAAAATGTACTTTAAATTGATTTGCAATCGTTTACAAATTGAATTAAGAATTTTTATTTTATGCTTTTCAGTGGATTACTGATTTATCCGTGAAAATTATATTTGATAATTTCACAGTGAAAATTATCAAAATATAATTTCACTTTTTTCAATGACGAAACTACTTTTTTAAGATTTTCCCAATGTGGTACCTCAATTTTATTTCTACGCACAATTCTGACAATGTCAGGCTGTTAAAAGAAATAGCAAGGCTGAAATAGATAAATAACTTAAATGTCAAAAGTAACACAGAGAGAAAACTTACTTCTATCCCTTCAATTCCAATCACCAAATTTCGTCTCTAAATTTTTTTGGTTTCGTTTTTACAGTCTGAAAAATACATTCCTTCCCCATGCAAAACTGCTCTTGATGACATTTGGGCATATTAAAGTATCCTACGAGCAATAACTGCCGCATGCTTTATGAAAAATTGAAAAGCATTGACAGCCATCACTCGTAAAATAAGTAAAACAACCCAGCGTTCCTTCAGCAAGCTTCCAAGTTTTCCATTATCCTAGCTCCTTTTCTGAATGTTTACACTTCTGTCAACACTTACTTTTTGTCTGTTACAATCCTCAAATAAGTTTTCTTTCTTTTAAAAAGGTGTATGACTAACAAATCCAAATTATATCCTTCTGAATCTTACACAATTATTTTCCTCCCATGAAATACACAACTTTAAAAAATGGCTGCCGTTTACATTTTAGAAAGCCATGTCTAATATAAATTCGCAGTAAGTAACAGAAATATGGATGGATGGTTGGAATTTTCTCCTGCAAGAATTGTTTGTTTTTATTATTAAAACAAGCGATCATTCATATTTTTCTAATAAAATGAATAAATATCACCGTCATTTAACCTTGATTGGCGGACTTATTTTTCAGCTCAAGACTTCTTGATTTAAATGAGAAATTCCGTCTAAATGGTACGGAATGCCGTTAGGGCCATTGCCTATGAATGTGTTGATCTGAAACGCGATAGTCGATAGTACGATGGTGAAAACGCGAAATCACGAAACTACGATGGTGAAAACGCGAAAGTACGATGATGAAAACGCGAAAGTACGATGATGAAAACGCGACAGTACGATACTACGATGATGAAAACGCGATAAACTATCGTGTTTTCACCATCGTACTGTCGTGTTTTCATCATCGTACTATCGCGTTTTCACCATCGTACTATCGCGTTTTCATCATTGTACTGTCGTGTTTTCATCATCGTACTATCGCGTTTTCACCATCGTACTGTCGTGTTTTCATCATCGTACTATCGCGTTTTCATCATCGTACTATCGCGTTTTCATCATCGTACTATCGTGTTTTCACCATCGTAGTTTCGTGATTTCGTGCTTTCACCATCGTACTATCGGCTATCGCGTTTCAGATTAACACATTCATAGGCGATGGCCCTAACGGCATTCCGGAATGCCGTTAGGGCCATCGCCTATCAATGGTTTGATCTGAAACGCGATACTCGACAGTACGATGATGAAAACGCGAAATCACGAAACTACGATGATGAAAACGCGACAGTACGATGGTGAAAACACGATAGTTTATCGCGTTTTCATCATCGTAGTATCGTACTGTCGCGTTTTCATCATCGTACTATCGCGTTTTCATCATCGTACTTTCGCGTTTTCACCATCGTAGTTTCGTGATTTCGCATTTTCACCATCGTACTATCGACTATCGCGTTTCAGATCAACACATTCATAGGCGATGGCCCTAACGGCATTCCGTAAAATGGGGCTCTCAATGGGGGAAACAGATTTTAATATTAACGTTAAAATTATGGAAATTTCGTTTTAACTTGTTTTTAAGCATAAAATAAAAAGAAAATTTGTCTGTTTGTTGTGCAAGATGTAATTTTATTTCATCTCGTGAACTTTAAAAACAGTATTCTCACTCGTGACTACGCCACTCGTGAGAATACTGTTTTTAAAGCTCACTCGATGAAATAAAATTTCATCTTACACACAAACAAACAAATATCCTCTATATATTGATTTAACTTTGTACGTAAATCTCAGTTAAATTTAGAATTCGTATTGTTAAAATGATTATAATACAACAATTAAATTTAGAATTTATATTGATAACTATTATGTTACATCAATTCAATTTAGAATTCATATCAATTTAAAGATATAATATGCTCAAACTTCATATTTGAAAATATTTATAATTGCTACGCAGTCCCTTTGTAAATATAAAATAACTATGTTTTAACTTCACCCAAAGTAGATATGTTCTGTTTAAAATTCTACACACTACAGGTGGTTACAATATGAATATTTAGTATCATTTAAAAAGCTGGCAGTATTTTTTTAAGAAAAGACCAATTTTACTTGATTTGTTATAGGAAACGCAGCTTACAATACATAATTTAATCATTATTTTATTCAAATTGGACATATTCGGTAAGAATTGCATAAATTTCAATAAATATTCTGTAATAGAAATATTTTACGCAAGGATGAGCATAGAGTATATCTAATGTCATAGTCCCTATTTCATCAATTCAATTTAGAATTTATACTGATAAGAAACTTATTTTACATAGATTCAATGTAGAACTTACATTGGTTGAATGTTCATGTTCAAATGCTCAACTTTTAACATATATATTGGTTAAATTTGACAGAAATTTAAACGATATGTGTATGAGTTTTCTACACAAAGTGATTTTCAAAGCGTCTTTTAATTTCTTTTCCGCACTGTGTTAAATTGACTTTATAGCAATATTACTTAAAGATAAATCGATTGAAAATTCGTCAATCAAAAAGAATTCGTTTTTAACTTCATTTTAGTGAGAAGGTGACCTTGGTAAGGGATTAAGCATAATAATATTCAATAAATTCATATATATGCATGTTATAGGGATTATCACAGCACCGTTCAGTTAATCGTGAGCATCATAAAAGTTAAAGATTATGAGCTTGTAAAAGCGAACGCCATGACCGCTGTAAAATGAACGTTATGAACGCTTTAATTGAACATTGTAAAACAATCGTTGTAAATGAATTATAATTGAAATTCTCGCTTGAAGAAACAATAACATTGAACTTGCCTCTATGATTTGTTACAAGCAATTATTATATAAATCTTTCAAATAGCAGAAGTATAAAGATTCTATATCTTAACATAATGTATAAATCTACAAAATATTTACCTGCGTATACACGTCATGTCAAGGTCGACGTACCAACCCCCGTAGTGGTATAATATCAAGTATCTGGCAACATTGACTCGCCGGACCCAATAGTCATATCGTCTGAATCTCTTTTCCATGTGAGGATATTCCCTCCGAATAAACTTAACTACTTCCGTCTCATTCCATAAATAATGAGTAAAATTCTTATTCTCACTTATACAACTCGCACGTGCATCTACTAGCTCTTTTGATGGCGTTTTACTTTTAACCGGAAAGAATATTTGATGCATAATGTTTGGTATTTTTTTAGTTTGTCGAACATGGTTCTTATATTTCATGGAACATGTGTCACAAACATCAACGTTGATATTATGATGTATAGCAAACTCACTGACGAGATACCCAATATTCTTAATCAAAAATATTAATATCCCTATAACTACAACTATTCCTAAATGCTGAACTTTAAATTTATAATTCATTCTTAAGGCTAATCCAAGAGATGGAAAGGACACTACTTTCATAATGTCTTAAAAATCAGTTTATACTACTTTAAGACTTCCCACACGGCCAAATGATATAAATTAGTGGTTTGTAAGACCTTTAATGGACTTGATCACAAAGTCGATAAAATTACCAAATTTGTTTTCTTTTACTTTGCCAAACATTACGTGGTTCAATAATTTTTCAGAAAAACTGTCTGCGCTATACAAGAAGTAAGAATATCTGATTTTCAATAGTTTAAGAGACAATACTGCTGTAGGAAATGACGGAATATATATGTCTGAAAAAATAATGCATGCAATGTCTCATTTTATTAGGTTTTGTTAAATCTAAGATATTCATAAATTCCATTAATGATGGATATACATGTATTTTGATAATAATATTTACAGTATGTTTTAAATGCCAGGGAAACAATAAATTTCGCGAGCTTATATATAATAATAATGGCATTTTTATTTATTTATTTATTTGTTTATTCATTTATTTATTATTTATTTATTTCGTTTTAAACGATTCAAGTTCTCACCCTATCCATTAAGCATACCCAAAAAATGAAAAGAGCAAAAATGAAAATGCAATATGGTAGCTTTTAAACGAACAATTTATTTCTTCACGCCTTAAATCAAAAATCTTTGCTCAGGAGTCGAAAATTTAGATCAGCTAATCATGTTTGCAAAGTGCTTGTATATATAAGAATACATTTGTAAAAATTCTATAGATGATAGTTACCACCAAAATAAACGTAAATACAATATCAAATATCATCAAACAATTAAATAAAACTATTGTGTTCTAATTTTAAAATTGTTCGAAAATGGGTTAATATGATTTGTTAGATTTAAGAAAAAAGTCAATATCAAGCTTCTGATGGTAAACAATTTAGAAATTGGTGTCTGCATTGTACTTTTTAATATTTGTATTTTTCATGTTAAAATGAAAAGTGATCCATGACAAGAAATCTAGGTTAAAAAGCAAAGAGGATTTTTCAAATTGAATTAGTCAAGTAAATCTTTAGCGTTGTATTAAAATTTATGCATACGTATATAGTTATATTTCACACAAGGTTTAAAATTGCATAGGGTATCATATTTTTCTTGGCCGAAAAATATAAATTTGGCTAAGTTAAAAAATATCAGAATCTAAAAAACGCATATGGTCGTAAAAGTTCTAGTACTTCCGTTTGTGTTTTTAATTCCACCACGTGCAATACAAAAAAGCAGACGAGATCAGAATGTCACGCGGTTGTCGGGCGTATTGTCACGTGACTAACCGTATTGATGGAATCATCAGGGCATAAATTCATTTCCCCCTATTTATCATATATATATTCAAACATGAAATATCAATATTCATTTCCGTACAAATTTTTCAGTCGTTCATCACGTGACTGACCATTGATTATTGTTAATTGAATTATATAGAAAATAACTCGATCACTGCTAAGACCTTCGGTCGATAGTTTGGACCCTGCTGATTAAATGAGCCGTGTCACGACAAAACCAACATAGTGCATTTGCGACCAGCATGGATCCAGACCAGCCTGCGCATCCGCGCAGTCTGATCAGGATCCATGCTGTTCGCTTACAAACCCTATTACAAGTAGAGAAACTGATAGCGAACAGCATGGATCCTGATCAGACTGCGCGGATGTTTGTTTGTCGTGACACGGCTCAAATAACCGTCGCAGTAGACGACAAGGGCAATATCATATTAACATTTAGACCAGCGATAAAATCTTTTCCCAGTACCAAGCTTTGTTATATCTAACTTAAAAATATTGAACTGGCATTGACACACGTGCAATTATGGTAATTTGAAACCTAAGTTAAAGTCTTTTTGTGATTCCTTTCAATCGATTACTCTATTAACGTATTTAATTTTGACCTTTAAGCAAGGTGTGTACTTGTTAATGTTATATATTACACGTAGTTTGTCGCTTCTAACTTTTTTATAGATATTTCCTACTGTTCTACATTTTAACATAAAGGTAAAAGTAAACTAGCGGAAAGATTTTTCTAAAAACTTTGCACGATTTAAAGAAAATCCTAATTGTGACAAATTTAGGAAAAATCACAGGGGGTCACATCTTTTTAAGTTGATAACCAATATATGGGTTGAATATATGATTAAAATTGAAAGTGAAGGCAAATACAATGTATAAGATCGCAGAATATACACAAGGAAGTCCTTATAATGTTTTACCAGGATACAACTTTATGATAAGTGAATGATATTTGTTGTTAGAATAGACCAAGGGTGAACAGCAAAACCGTCAAGGACTCGCAACTCAGTTTAAACAAATTTAACATTTTAATATTCTTAAATTTCATTGCTGACGAATTCTATTAAAATGGCTAAGTATACGATAAATTACTAGTTTGTATTACGTATCTTGCAATATATTTTAACGACAAGATTTTTATTGGTCAACGTCGTGCAGACGCTAATGACGAAAACGGTCAGGAAAATGACGAAAAAGAAAGGAATTGGTCACGGAATGTGTCGGTATATTACGAAATAAGTCACGGAAAGTGACAATGTGAGACGAAATATGTTATATGACAAAATAAGTTAAGGATGATACCGATAACAAAATATGACGAAGTTGTAAATAATGTATTATAAACATATTATACAGCAAACAACAATTAAGGCTTTTCAGATTTCATATGTATTCAAATCATTTCAAAGGCTAGGTTTTATATTTTCACATCGAGACAGTCGGCTGAATAATGTCAATGCAGACAATATTTAAAACATCAACTTTAAAACAGGTCATAAATAGTGCCTGTTAATAGAATTTTCCACCTTTATGGCGAATCCGTGCTTAATTCAAATTGAAAAAGGAGAGAAATATTCGTATATTTGCAGGGCAGATCGATTTTTTTTATCAAAGTTTGATCAATCCCCCATGTTGGATAATTTGATGCTCGTTTATCAGGGGTCGAGTCTCGCCTTTTCAAATAATCCGGTCCCCAGTGTACTTCTAATAGTAATATGAATGGGGCAGGTAATCCAGACTACCTTTTCATTCTGTACCAAATTAACACCCTTTGTTATACAAAAAATAGCCTCACAGACATGCTATATTTTTATGAAGCTTGCAAATGGATAATCATGTCAAAATCTGGAACGCCAATAAATTCAAACAAAGTACATGAGCATACAATGTCATCGATTCCTTTTATAAGAGTTAAACGTTCTTCAAATATTAACACACATATTGTCCGTGGTCAGAAAGAGAGCATTATTCTATATAATTGTGTGCGCTACTGTTTATTTTACGGATATTTTTTTTCATTGTATTATAACCATTGATTATGCGATTGTTTCACGTCATTGACTTTTGCCATTGTTGTAACGGTACAAAGGATTGGAGCTTGTTTTTCTGACAGGAATAGCATTCTTATCATTACCATACAATACCAACCTTTATCTCAACACCCGCTAAATTTATGTTAATGATTTATCTTCCATTAAAGGCCCATTAAGTAATAAGAATCTGTAATTTTAAATTCCTTAAATTTGTATTATTTTCATCTTCTGTTACTCTTTTAAATATTGTATTCATTGGCCATAAAGCCGGACCATCTTTTGCTTTTTGGCCAATGGTAAAGTTGTACTGATTTGATATTTTGTATGGAAAACAAAATATTACGTTAGAAACATTTTGCTATATTTATGGACATATTGTTTCACATTTAAAGCTTCTTTCTTCGCCCTATCAAAATCAAACATTATTTAATTCAAAAACATTACATGTATTTAAAAATTACTAGAAGAAACTAAGTTTTTTTCTAAAGAAAAAAAAAAACAAAAAAAAAAAAAAATAAAAAAAAATCATTAATCATTTCTAAGGCTTAATTTATCTTTAAATTTCTTAATTCAATCGTGATTATTGATATTAGATTCTGTCTTAGTGAAGAATCATGTAAAATGCAAAAAAATAGAACACTAAATGCCCTGTTCTAGAACTTTAATAATTTAAAAGTGCATTAATTTGATCACTTTATTGACCACTGGTTGACGAAAACAAAGTTAAAATAGTTACTATGACGACAACTGGTTGACGAAAACAGTGATTGTTCCAAATATTGACATATTTAGTAATCATTATATCGACAGCTTGATGACTGTAAATTTGTACAAGGTAATATAAAGAGTAAAATCTAGGACCATAATAGGAATGTGTCACAAGGCTTGCGTTCATTATTACATTATACGTGTATAGTGTAATACTGCACATTTGTAACGTCGCTTTTCATTGGATAATCGTGACGCTTCAATAGTTTTATATACACGGCTGCAATCGCAACTTCTCGGCCCTTTCCGTCAGTCTTCGGATAAGGACCTCGAACACAATAGTATGAATACACAGAACGGGTGCGGTATTTCGATCTTACCTTCGCTAAGAAACTAAACATGTAAACAAATAGTAATTTATTGCTGGGAGTTGTTGAAAAGTTTATTTCCAATATATGTAGTAAAAGTCCACCTAAAATAAGTGAATTCATAGGTACAAAAGAAAACAATACATTATTTATTATTTACTATTATGGTTATAGAAACCGGAAGTACAAAAAACAACCTGTTGACATTTAGTCGGATTTGTTTAAAATTGAACATCAGTGGACATATTTAAATTACAAATTGTAGTCAGACATATTTTCAAGAATAAGAGTACCGGAACAGACATTTGATGTCAAATATATACATTCGTTTTACATTATCTCTGTTTCTGTTTACATCTGAACCACGTGGTAGAACTACTTTCAATCCGAATTGTTTCCGAGGTTATTATAGATAAAAGCCGAGGCAGTTCCGAATGACACGGCTGCTGTCAATTTTTGAGAAACCTTACTTTTCTCTTCAAAAAGCAAGTTTGCTGCATAATATATTAGGTTGATTTGTTCTAAAATTCCTGACAGGTTATATGACCGTATATAAACGGTTGTTTGCAATATAATTTTTAATATTAAGATCAGCACAAACCCTTGATGGAGTCAGCCGTACATATTACACATAATAAGTTCATGCATGCGTTTGATGGATTAAGAATATCGCCATTGAAATC